TTTTTTCCAGGTGTATATAATGTATAATAATTGAAATATGACTGTATTTCATAAAATACTAGTTTACTAAAACACAGCCAAGACAGGTTACTCTGTATAGACCAAAGTCAGTTTTATGTTATTGGATAAGGTAACATGTGTCCTCTCATTGTAAATTCTGTATTTTTAGCCAGACATGGCTGAAAAGTCAATATAATAAAAATAATAAATATATAATGTTATGAGATTTAGCTATTTAGCCTAAACATTTATGTTTTCATGTTATAATTTGTGTTCATTCTAGAATGAAAGAGGCATAATTTATATTTATTTCCTAATTTTTTTATGGTGGTTGAGAGAATGGCAAAATCATTTCAATTGTTGATGCCAGTTCTTCTGGAGAGGATTTGACCCCAACACATGTGGAAGATGGTCCAAATTCTGCTTCATGCTCCAAACATTTCCATACTTTTTCGTGTGGCCATATTTGCAGCTTGTCACAAAGTTGATCTACATTCATCACGTAGAACAATAACCCTCAATTCAAGCAATCACTTGTTGCTAGGTTACAATGCATACCATACACGCCTAGAACCAATATGCTTTAGCACGAATTCATTGCCTACACTTTAGTTTGTAAGGGTGTAACATTAAAGAAAAAAAAGTAGTTCATACCAAACTCTGCCTTTTTCAATAGTGATGTACAAAGTTTGATCATAGATTTGCTTATATGGAAAATTAAGGATTTGTCTCAATATTTTGGGATAATTTATGTGTAGGCACGTGCTTTTTTGCCTGAATGGAATGTACACCCTTGGTGTAGGGGCCCAGGAGAGCATATTTTCAGCATATTTTGCCCTCCAGTGACACAGCGGTATGTCTGTGGACTTACAACACTAGAATCCAGGTTTTGATACCCATGGTGGGCAGAACACAGATAGCCCATTGTGTTGCTTTGTGCTTAATTACAAACAAACAAACAGTAGATTTTACATAGATTTCAAGCGATTTTTCTGCAGATTTTGGGAAAGTTTTATATAGATTTTCACACATAATTTCTATAGATTTTAACATAGATTCTTCATTAATCTATTAGTTTAACATACAGTGAGAACTCCTAAAGCTCTCACATTAGAACTGTATGTGTAACTATAGGTACATATTTTTTGTTTCATTTTCTTCTGTTTTGATTTAGGGGAACTCTTATTAAAGTCCTCCTGCAAGTGTTAGCCATAGTTGAGCTTAAGGTTCCATTACTTTCATTTAATTTAGGGTAAGTGCCATAAGGTTCTCAGCAATGAATTAGTTACTTACTTTCACCATAGGTGTACAGGTTTTAGTATTCTTAGTGAAGCCTTGACTCTGATATTGTTAGAATTGTATTTTCTTTGTTTATTATTTAGTGAAGGTATTTTAACCATCAGTGAAACCCAAGGTTGGAGCTTGGACTTCACTGCATTATTATATTTAGGTACACTAAAGAGAGAGTAATGTAACTTAACATAACATGGAGTTGTTGTTGTTTTTATTTAGTAATTCTATTCTACAGTTTAGTTTACTGAGACCAATAGGAGCCTTTTTTGTTATAATAAACATTCATTAGCTCCTGCTGGTTCAACACTTTCCATTTAACTATCATTTCCCCATTATACAGTAGTGCATTATAACCCATTATAACCATTATAACTGGGAGCATGCGCGCTGGAGTTTCTAGAAGGATCATTACTTATTGAGGAACCTCGCGAATGTCCAAGTGTTTGCCAGGCGCCCTCTTTTTTAGTATATAAGTCCGGCAAATAAAGCTAGCAAGAGATAGATATAGATAGATAACTGAGTCAAGTGAACAGTAGGCACCGTAAGTGAAATGTGTAAATCACTGTCATTTATAGCGTGTGATATAAAGGTTGTTAAGTTTAAAGTGACTATGGAAATTCTGTGTATTACAAAGTTGTATCAAGAAAGAATAAACTAGTTTTAATTAAGAAAGGACTTGTATCGCTGAAGTTTCTCAGAAAGAATTTATACCAGAAATTAACAAACAAGCAGATATGTAACAATATTTTATGTTTATTGTCTGCATTAGAATTCAATAACATTTGCATTCTGTGTGAAATCTATGTCAGTCTCATTCTTTGTGGTACAATCTTTGTACCTGTCAGGAATACACCCACACTTTTCTGGAAATCTTTAACATACCACAACAGGTACTGCAAGTTATTTCAAGTTTTGTTTTGAAAAAACTTTACAACTTGAAAAAACTATATCTAACTTATGCAATTTTACATCTTTCATTTTAAAACAAATCCTCAAAAACATTTCATTCATGAAATCCTTCGTGACATCTTGCTCCACAGAAAGGCTGTGCTTAAAATTGTATAATTATCAGTTAAATAGGTAATATTATATTTCAGTATAAATTCAAAAAATGAATACTAACTTCTTTTTTATCATTAATTATGACAGAAAATTACAATTTATTTAGCAAATCCACTCGCTGTGCACATACCTAAAGAAAGGCTTGCTGTTATGCACAATTCCCTCATTGGTCTTGTCATTTGCATTGGTAAAGAGAGGTGACCAGTCAGATGGTAAAGTAGTAGCATCTACTGTAAAGCCATGGTTCTGAGAAGTAATGCAACAGAGTTTTGTATCATGATAAATGCAAGGTTGATTATGCCCACGGTTACCATACCTAATAAAGAAACAGTTACATCATGAATTGTATCTAAAATTTATATAATATAATTAAAATTTTCACAATCCCTTGTTAGAATTAACTTTAAATTCCAGTTCTTAGTAGTGAAACAAGGCTGGCTGCATCCACAGCAGCAATAAAAATATAAACTATATATTTGAAAGTCTCCATAGTTATGAAATAGTTGCAAATATGTTTTTTGCATAAAAGCTGCAATTAGAAAACATTGGGAAATAGTTTTTTATTACTATATGGTGAGTACAGGTTCTTTTCTAACCTTATTGTCAAAAACTCAGAACATAGAAAAGAAATTTAATTTTGTAGATATAAAAAGATGTATTAGTAGTATTTGCACCTGAGGATAAATTTACAACATTACCTTAACCAAACTTAAGGTGTTCTAAATCAGAATTTAGAAAAAAAATTAAATTTTGTAGACATGAAATATATATTAAGGAATTTGCATATAATCCATGTAAGAATCTAGGTTAAACAAGAACTTTACATTTAGGAATGTCCCATCATGTTATGAACATAACATGTCATGGACAAAATTTTAATAAAAACAATATATTTTAGCATACTTAAAATCAGTGGTGGCTTGTGACCTTTGAGAGGCTGATTTCAATTTCTCATCATTTTAGAAGTAATACATATATATATAGTGAATGATGCATCATAGTTTATTCATATGCATACAATATTATGAAAATACATAGACCTTATAGACTTATATGGAGGTATAGCTATATTGGGAAAAAAATAATTTTTAATGTTCTTGAAATTTCTGAATAAGGTTACCTTTAACACTTACTTGTACTCTTTTATTTTTTATGAGGAAAAAGGTCGATAACCTTAGTAATAAACTGTGGAATGCTCTTGATTAGTTCTCTATGAATGGACAAAACGGCAAGTGCATTCAAACTGTCCTAAAACATTGAATTCTGGAGAAAAGGTTTAATTCTCTTGAGAGTGCTGAAGCATTGCTCCAAATTCAATAACAAGCATTATATTCAGGTTAATGGTACTACAATTGGTACCATAATGGCTTCCAATTACGCCAACATTTTTATGCGTCATATTGAAAACCAGCTTTTAGAACTAAGCCCTATAAAACCTCATACATGGAAACCTTACATAGATGAAATATTTTTCATTTGAACAGCCGAGCTTAAATCACTTAACTCTTTCAGCCCGGGCTCGGTCCCTTGGACCAACCTCAACCATTTTGTGCTTGTTATAGTTTTCATGCTATAACTTTTAAATTAGTAAGCGAATGTTGACAAAATTTGGCAGTTTATCAGTAAACATTACAATGCTTTCATATGCAAAATATATTATATTGTAAAGCAATGTTTCTCTCATGCCATTTTTTTTCACATCTTGCCTATCTATCATGCAAAGTAATTTTCATTTTAAGAATAAAAATACTTTTATGCATCAGAAACTTTTATAATGCAAAATCTTTATAATGTCCAGATAGTTATAAAACATTTCTTAAGAAAAAAACTTTATATTTTATCTGTTATTTTCAGTAATTAATCTCTGTATGGGGTCAGTAGGTTTGACCGAAAATGTCCCCATCAAGTCTGCAGTCCAGTGAAGGCCACCTGCAACTTCTGCATGCATCTTGGGAAGAAGTACACAAATGTCCCCTTCAAGTCTGCAGTCCAGTGAAGGCCACCTGCAACTTCTGCATGCATCTTGGGAAGAAGTACAC